CCGTTCATGATAGAGAGACGTATACGCGTTATTTATTGAAAAAAAAATTTCGTCAACAACTGCAGGGTCCTTTTCAACACGAGGCATTTTTTGTGCCTAATAAAAAAAAATACCTTTTCAGTGTTGGTTGTAGTAGAGCTAGACATTGTAAAGTAAGATTTTACGTGTAATTGAAGTAAGTGTTTATTAATATCTAGAAATAAACATCACCAATCGATGCGAAAGAAGTTTATGGAGGGAGTCAGAAAAGATTATGAGTAGCTAGTCATCAGTGGCATTTTTGACGATATGTACGAACTCCATCGCTGTTATATACTTTCAGTCAACATACTCAAATGAGATTATAAGCAGAATGTTCATCGAAAAGCGGATGTGTAGCTTATAGAAGATAAAATATTTATTTAAATTAAACCGTTAAAAAAAAGAAACCATTATTGGCTTCTCTAGCAAAAAAAGTAAATGTGTTTTTTTCTCTGATAATTATTACTTGTGATTTTATAAACATACTTGACAAGGGAAAACATAAGAATGAGACAATCGATGATTGTTATCAGTATGAATAGCATTGTAAGAAATTTGAAATAATCCAGACATCTTCTCCAATGATTCTGAAGAAAAAAACGATCAATTTGAGTTTTATTTAAAAAGGTTCTTTGAGCACATTTTTTTCTTCGTTGTCTTGAAAGCGATCAAACTCTGCCCGTGCTCCAGATTTGGAAGAAATACTTCGTTCGAAATATATGACACTGTATCTGGCAGACATATGAGAAGAAGAAAGAATCATAAGTCACTTCTTATAAACACAAAGCCATTGTTTGTTGAAGAACATATAAATAGAATTGTCTATAGATGTATAGAAAAATAAAAGTAAAAGAGATATTAGAATTAGAAGATCAATGATGGCACACTATCTATCACACTAACACAACATAAAGAAGTTTCCGTAACAGAATAAAAAGTATATCGAGACGAAATCTTTTAATACCGTGTTTGTACGGAAAAAAATTTGTTTTTTATTATTTTCTTTGGTGGACGATGTAATGAAAAAAATTCATCATCGGAAGATTTTTTTCAATTTAGCTACCTGGCAATACCTTCGAAATTTCAATGCCATGTAGACAATCAAAATTATATTATTGGAGTGAGCGTAAAAGGTGGAGACAGAAGTACTAATTACCTCGAAAGGATCTGCTCAAATTAGGAGCAAAAATCAAAAAAAAAGATTTTCCAACAAATATAGATATGTTCTATTCCTCTCTTTATTTCTCTCTTCCTTTGAACGCTTTTTCTTTTCATTCGGTTACAGAAACATATCTATTGATGAACTTGTCCATATATCACATATATAGCTAATATGAGAAGGAGAACAACACAATAAATTATCATCTGATGTTGAATTACAAATAAATGTCATTGAGAAGTGAAATTTGCCTACTTAATATCTTTGTTCGATTGACACTTCTTCTAAACTTGTGACATTTAAATATAAATGATTAACTTCTGAATAAACAGTAATAGAATCAAACACGGTTTCGAAAAATGGAACATTCGATCGATTTAGATGAAGATCACCAAGAAAATGCTGTAATGAATAACGAGAATACTCAAGAACTGATAAATATTTTTGTCGAACATGTTTGACGAGTTCATCAGATGATCAATAAAAATCAAATGGTAGATGATATGGTAATGTTGAAACAAACATTTCAATCATATTCTATAACTGACTTCAATATTGTATTTTAATTTCTTTCGTCATATATTTCCTTGTTCAGTTAACATTATATTGAAAATTTTTTTTTTGATATCCAATATGAGCTCTGAAATGAAGCGAGCGCATTGTAAACGTCAGCTTTTTCTACGCGAAATGTAGTTGTTCGAAGAGTAAAATGAGTTAGTAATGGCAATGATGTTTCCAATAAGATCTTCCATGCATTTCCATCAAAAATTTCACTATGTGCTTTAATTTCAAGACGATTTAAAATAGGCATTGAATTAAAATATTCTGTCCACATATCCATCTTTATGGAACTGTCGTGAGCAAAATATAAGACCAGTGTACGAAGTGTAGACATTGATTTTATATTCTTTTTTGGATTCGTTTCTGTTTCATCATAATAAGAATATATTCTATTGATTAACTCAACATCAAGATATTTAAGATGGAGGAGCACAATGGAAAATATATTGTAAATGTTGAAATCGAAAATGTACACCGGAAATAGTCAAATGTTCAATATTTGATGAGACGTTCGCCAAATCACTCCAATTTATAAATATAATATTGGTCATAAGAGAAAATCGCTTGAGTGATTTTAAGCGAAAAAAATCAACAATAACATTTCCTAATGATGATCTATTATCTGTGTTCATCTCTTTGATTGATAAAGTGTCAATAGTCGTTTGCAATATTGAATTAAGAGCTCTTTCAACAATTTCTCGATCGATACCTTCACCGGTAAAATGAAAATAAAGTATTCGAAGTTGTTTAAATAATTCAAACGATGGATAGAAAGAAAGAAAAACATAAACTTGACGAGGTGCATCCTGTTCTGATTTGGATAATTCTTCTATTTTGTCAAGATAGGCTGGTAGAAGACCCATACAAAATCGAAAGTCATCTTTTTGACATTGAATAAAATCAAAACGAAGTCGTTGACATTGAATAATGAGTGCATTGAAACGTTGATTGAGTTGAAAGCTAAAAGCTCTTAGTAGATCTACACCATTAATATATTTCTCAATAATATCGATCAATAGTTCGTTTGGAAGTGATTCAAGTTTTGTGATTGACATCATTGTGAACAAAATAATAGTAAAAGACAACAAATAATGTGAAAATATTGTTGAAACAGTATTATACTGATTTTATTCTTTTCTTTCTGTAAGCAGAAAAGTATTATGTGAAAAAAACATGATTTTATTAGTGATGTAGTAGTTTTAACTGACAGTTTGTTCTCGTTCTTCTTTTTAATAGAGTGTACCTTAGTTTACTTTTCTTTCAATATCAACAAAAATATTTTGCGTGTGCGTAAAAGATGATCGTTATTTTTGAATCAGTCATTGTTATAATTCCAGTTGGGTATGTTTGTCATAAAAAGATCGAAAAATGGCAGTGAATCATAAAGAAAGTAAGGATTTTCAATATCGTTAATTGCCGCATAATGCTTCTGAATGAACTCATGGACAGTTCGATAGTAATATCGTATCTGAAAATGCGAATACTTCGATAAAGAAATTTATAAGAAAATTGAAATTAACATTTCTTTGCAAATAATGTGATGTAACAATGTCTCGATTTATGTATGTGTTACACATCGCTTTCAATTTAGATTCATCTACAACAGAACATCTTAATACTTTTCTGTAATTCTTCACTTTTTTATGCAAACAAATTGTTGATATAGGTAAGAAACTATTGATATCTTGAGAATATACGCTTAGTTGGTTTTCATCATACACATTTTTCTCATAAAACTTCATATTTTGCAGTCCCCTTCTAATACTTAATACGTAGCTTAGACTTTTGCTTGAAAATAGTACTAAATTTTAATAGTTTAACAAAAGTCTAGTATTGATTATTTCATGTGCATTCATATCTCATTCCCAAAAACTATGAGTTTCGATCTAAAAATATTCGATTATCCTAGATAGTATAACAAGTTCCAAAAATTAGCATTTTCTGGCGACTGTATACTATCCAAAAACGTTTTTAGAATTTCGGATTCTTTAAGTTATATAGATATCTATCTTACCTGTGAAAATGTCATCAAAACGTACGAAAAACAGCGGTTTACGGCACACTATGACAACTCAATTTAACAATCAAAATAGGAATAAAAAAGAGACTGATATTATTGTAGTCAAAATATTTTCTTTTCGAATGACAATTATATTCAAACACTAACATTGACTGATATTGTTTGTTACATTGACCACCGTCTATACTCAAAGGAAATCGAATGATATTTTCCAATGAAAATTCTTTCAAATAATTATTTTCAGGCAATCTTCCAACAGCGACTCTTTTTATGTGTGTATTATGGTTTGTTACACGGCTTTTAGGATCATACCAAATATGTACACAAGCTAATCAAAGATTTTTTTTGACAATAATGATATACTATTTATATATAGTCAATTTTCTCAATAATTCATCATTTATTACTTCGGTAGAAATATTTTACAGAAATGCAAATTCATGTTATCGGTTGTTGCAGGAAACACGCACATGTCGATATGTCAATGATATTTAGTTTAGTATTCGTTTGTTCAGATTTGACGGTTTATCAATAAATTCGTCTTTTAATTCTCTACAAAAGGGTATAATTTTTATAATTGTAAGTAATATCAATTATTTCTCGAGATATTTCAAATGAACACTGAAAACTGAAAAACGTTCTAATACAACTTTTTCTCAGCTTTTTTTCAACTGAATACTTTACCTCTTGTATACATATTTCTTTCAATGGAAATTTTTCTAACTGAAAGAATGTACGAATTCATTTCATATTGAATTGTTGAATGTATTTACATATGGATCGCTCGATGACTAATAGTCATTAAAGATTGAAGAGAAAAGTTGTTCTCGTCTCACTGTTTTGTAATTCATGGATGTGAGATTTCAGATACCGACTTGCTCAAGTGACCAATCTGACACTGATATTCATTTTCGATCAAGAGACATATAAGATTACTCGCAACACATCCACAGTGTTATTTGAATAGAACTAAAATATGGAAATGAGATTTTCAGGAAAGATTGGACATTTCAGAAGATCGATCTGCGAAATATCACATTCATCAATTACACAATAGTGGGATCAGAACAACTTTTCCTATTCTATGGCCAAGGTTCATTAGTTGATAGATAAAGAGTAACATGACAGATGTCTCTCTCAACATTTGGATCTTCTACAGGTAAGATCTTACCCGAAGAATAAAACAGTGACATGACTTAGTTCGAAATATTTGAAAGAAGTATTGTTGAATTGGATGAGAATGTATGTCTGTGGGTGAAGAGAAGGCACACACCTACAGCTACACATTTATGAAATATCGTTTTTTCAACAATCCATAGTTGAAACTTCGCATAGCATATCGCAATCGACTGAAACTTGAATATCATTTGAATGTGATAATTAAAATTTTGTCTTCAACTATGGGCCAGTTTGATAGAGACATTCTTTTGTTCATGTAAATTTGAATATAACTATTTGTTTTCATTTTTTATTATTGCTCACTTCCATTGTTTTCCAAACAGAACTTCAACATACACAAAGCACCATTGTGAAAACAATAACATAGAGTTAGTATATATCGTCGGATCAAAGTATGCTATTTTTCAAGAGGAATTTTCTGTGCGTAACAAATCTAAAGAAATCATCGAAAATGAGTTAAGGAAAAGTAAACAAATAATGAGTTTTATTTCAGTCTAAATGATAATGCACTGATCATCCGACATTAATCAAGGACATATTGCATGTATATCAGATGGAAGTCATAGTTTCCTGAATGATGAATGCAGCGATCAGTAAGATATATTAACAAAGGCAAAGATGTCATTGACTGATTTACTAATGATCAAGATTAGGTACTTTTATTTTAAGTTAACAGTTTCAAAAAACACAGATTCTTCGTAATCTCCTATTTGAACAAAATCAAAAAAAAAGAACTAAGACTTTCTTTTTCGGATTGTCAGAAGCTTTAGTAATTATAAAACAATTTAAACTGTAGTTAGGATTAATGTGACATCGATTGCAATAATTCTATGGCAAATCTTTGCCAGCAAGGTTTTACAAAAGCAGCTTGCTCGAGCCAAACTGTTATTGTATCATCCTTAACTTGGAACAAAACTTTATTTTGTCGTCGTAAGTCATATTCGAAATTTTTTCTGCTCTGAAAGTCATAAGGCGTACGATGATTTTTTGGAATTGTGAAAGTAAGACTCCGAAGATGTACTAAATATGTTTTCAATAATGGAACATTATGTAAGCTTGATGTATTGATTTTGATATGTTCGACGTCCGGAAAACACTTAGCAATAATAATAATATCTTCTTCGTTGAATGCATGCTTAGAAAGCGAAATGTCCAGATCTTTTGCAGAATAACCTTTTTCCATGAAAGCATCTTTATTAGCAAGAAGCAGATTGAAGTTTATATAAAGTGAACTAATATTTGTAAGATATGTCAGGAGTGCAGTTAATGTGTCAGTCTTTTTTCGTGAACGTGTGATAGCAAGTTGTTTGATTTTGAAACAATTTACATATGTTTTCAACCATTTGAATACAGAACTATCCATTTTATCCATGATAAGACACTTTATATTGTCAAAGTAATAATGACATGATGCATTATTATTCATATCACAAAGATTTAAACTTATATTGCTGTTTACTGTCATAAGATCATTATTAATAGTACGGTTGGGTGCTATCTAACATTGAAGAATGGGCAGATCAAATTCATCTCGGACATGATACTTCATCTTGTGTATGCTGAAACCATTGAAATTCCAGAGTTCATGGTTGGTTATCATTAGAGTGAAATTCTTTTTCGATATCCAAAATGAACTTTGAAACGAAGAGAGCACATTGTCGAGATCAGCTTTTTCTATACGAAATATAGTCGTTCGAAGAGTAAAATAAGTTAGGAATGGTAATGATGTTTCTAACAACATCTTCCACCCATTGGCATCAAGAAGTTTACTGTGCGATTTAATCTCAAGACGATTTAAAACAGGCATATAAGTAAAATATTGTGTTAACGTGTCCATCGTTATTGAACTGTCTCTATCGAAAGATAAGACTAGTGTACGAAGTGTAGACATTAGCTTAATATTCGCTTTTTGACGCTTTGTTATGTCAATGTATTCAAATAAGCTTTTATTCATTAATTCAACATCAAGATATTCAAGATGAGGAGCACACTGGAAAATATATTGTAGATCTTCAAATTCTCAATGTATACCAGAAATAGTTAAATGTTCAAGATTTGACGAAGTATTCGCCAAAGAAACCCAGTTCATAGATATTGAATAGCCCATGAAAGACAATCGTTTAATTAAGTGATTTTAAGCGAAAAAGATCGATAATAGCATATCCCAGTGAAGGTCTATCGTCTGTCTTCATTGCTTTTATTGATAAAGTGTCAATAATCGTTTGTAATAAGGAATTAAGAGCCTTTTTAACAATTTCCCAATGGACATCGTCATCATTAAAATGAAAATAAAGTGTTCGAAGTTTTTTAAATGATTCAAATGATGGATAAACAGAAAGGAAAGCATAAACTTGACCAGGTGTATCTTGTTCTGATATGGCTAATTCTTCTATTTTATCGACATAAGCTGATAAAAGATCGATGCAAAAATGAAAATCATCTTTTTGACATTGAATAAAATCAAAACGAAATCGTTGACATTGAGTAATGAGTGCATTGAAACGTTGATTGAGTTGAAAACCAAAAGCTCTTAGTAGATCTACTCCATCAATATATTTTTCAATAATATCCATTAATATTTCGTTCGGAAATGATTGAAGTTTTGAAAGTGACATTTGTGTGAAAAAAAAATAATAGTAAAAAATCGACAAGTGACGATGAAATGTTTTTGAAACGATGTTGTGTTGATTTGATTGTGTTTTTTGATAAGAAAAGAAGCATTATCTGAAGAAAAAATATGATTTGCGTAATGATATCGAAATTTCGAATGACGATTTGTTGTTTTTCTTTTCTTGGCATAATGCACCTCGGTTTGCGTTTCTTTGTACATCAACAAACCTTTTACAAGTGTCCATGAAACATGAAGAATATTTTTGAATTAGTCATTCAAATAACTATATATAGATGTGCTTATCATAAAAAGATCGAGAAAGGAAGTGAATCATAAAGAAAGAAAAAAACTTTTGATATGGTTTATTGTACGGTAATGCTTTTGAATGAAGCCATTGACAGTTTGACAGCATTATTTTATCTGAAATGGAAATATTTCGATGAAAAAATTCATAAGGAAACTGAAAGTCGTACTAGTTTTTGCAGGGACGGACAAGTCAAGTCATTTTTTTACTTGAAGATTTTATGAATGCACTATGACTTGTCTTCAGTTGCGTTGACACTAGTTCATATTAGAGATATCGAGAGAATTTTTATGCACTTGATTTTTTTTTCATTCCTAATTTGAAATGTAAAAGAAGAATATAGATAAAAAATAGTAAATATCTTTATAAACTAAATTCAACATCAAAATAAAATTGAACCTTTTTCAACTTGTATTGATCATTTCGCTGCTCAATGATATACAGCTTTTTTTATGTAATGTTTTTGCATTATTGTGATGCTTTATTATAAACTCATTTTCTTTTGTAAAGAACGAAAGCTTTGGTATTTTGATCTTTTTACAAAGAGTAGAATATTTTTAAAAATCTTTCAATGTAATCCATACAAGATTAAAATATAAAACTTCATTGTTTCTGTCAGTCATGGTCTATGGGACGACAAGAGAGATGATTTAGTTTTCTCGTGACATCCTTCAACATTCATTTCGTTAATTACTTATTAATGGAGCTATTCTTTAGATATTTGTGAGTTATTAGGTAGTTATTTAAATAATGAGCTCTTGCTAATGGCATGTTAAAATGTCTATCAAGAGCGGTGCGAATGGCATAGTGCGTATCGACAGAGACATTTGGCTAAAAATGAAAATAGCACTTTTTCAAGATTTAAATATAGGGAAATATAAACCCTCAAAGAAACTAGAAAATCAGTTGCTCAAAAACTAGCCTGAAAATCATGATGTCACTAGGAAAAATGATATCTGATAAAATTAAATTGTTCAACAGACAAATCAAGTATATTTTCTGATTCTGTCAGCCGAGTTCTATATAATCGTAAAAAATATTTTTTCATTTTCATGTTTAACTTTTGAGAAAAAAATTATTTCTTTTCTACAGTGTCATCGGAACAGCATGTCCCGTAAAATGAGCGATCCAATATCCAAACTTTTTCAAATTGTGCCTGAATATTCTTCTATCTACTATCTCTAATCCGTGTTTATTTTTCAAGTATCTTTTAGTTTTTCGTACTTTGGAAAAATATCTAATCGACAAAAATAGTATATTCAGAATCAGAGCATTAAACTACATTGAATAATGTTCTACACAAAGGAACTTTGAAGAAGAAATTTTGTCGAAAAAATGAGGGCGAGTCTCCTTCAGGCATTTTTTATCGAAATAATTTTCTTCTATAAAGCACTTTTTTGCGTCATATCCAATCATTTGTTAGCAAAAAGCAAGAAAGTCACATATTGGTCTGCCATCCCAAAATGCATACCATATGGGAGAAGTAGTGTAAAATATTTTTGGACATTCAGACACGTACTATGAATATTTTCTTTTTCTTTTTCAAACCACGTTCGGCGAAATTTCGAGGTTTAGTTTGTTTTGGCCAATATTTTTTTATTACGAAATGAACTGAATCAATCAGTTGTTGAGAAAATCGAAGATAATGCTATCTGAACAGATTGTTATTTCTGGAACAGTAATATGAACGTTGTTACATTTTCGAAGTGCCATTTGTATTGAACTTCGTGTTTTGTTTTTCTTTTTTTTTCTATTCTACTTAGGGATGCAACGGTAAAATCGGTAAGCACATGACAAACCGACAGTGATAATCAGTGTATCAACATCGGCAGCTGCTCTAAGCATAAAGATATCTGAATAACGCAAAACTCGATCATTGCTATAGATGTCTAATGCGTTCATCTGCTTCATCGGTTTTAACCATGATGCTTAAAATTGCATTCCTAATTGTACTTATTAAAATACAATGTGTTTAAAAGGAAAAACTTTGTTGTTTATAAAATGTATGTTTATTCATATGTATTTTTGATATATTTATGCAATGAACTGTTATTTAACAAAGAAAAAAAGGAAGCAATATATTTGAACAAGAAGGCAATTCCTAGAATTTTGTGTATTTTATACTGAACGTTCAAGGAGAAGAAGGTGTTCGATGAATTTGAACAAACCTGAATGATCTGGTGACCATTCAATTGAAAACATAAACAAAAAGATCTTTTTAGCGAAAAAAGTGCACGAAACACATAAGAACGAAAGAAAATTTTGACGAAGGTGCATAACAGCGAAGAGTAAAGTTGTGATATACAAAGGAGTGCAAAAACAATAGCGAAAATCAACATCGTGGATGGCATTTCGGCGAATTTTTTTATCTTGACAAAATTTGATTGTTTATGTTTGACGATGATTCATCGTGGTGGGTGTGTGTATAAGTCATAGGTCTTATTCGTGCTGAACTTTTCGACCTATTAATCTATTTTGGGAGTGTGCATATCAATCTTTTCTTCACTAACCAACATTCGCACATCCCCTCTACATTCGTAGCTTAAAGTTTGAATTTCTCATTTTCATACATGATTTTTCTACTTCATTTTTTTGTATCTCTCGATATCTATGTATTAAATTTTGTTCTATTTAGCTTTACATTTCGCTGTTTTGTCTTTCGCAATTAACGTAAAATTTCTTTTACTATCACATCTTTTTCACGAAAAAAAAATATGACTTTTATCGTAACGTTCTTTTTATTGATGGCTCCTAATGATATGTTAGAAAATTATACTTGAGCTGTTATATTAAATCTATTTTGGCTCATTTCAAATCATGAAAAATTCATGGATATCATAAAACGTGCTGTAAATGATAGAGAAAATTTTATAGATACATTTATATCATGGACAATGAAAAGTAGAAAACAATCAGCAAATGATATTCTAAAAAATCTTAATAGGTAAAAATTAATATAATCTATTTATATAATATAATAACAAAGTATTTTCTATACTATGCAAATTAAATATGAAGTAAGTTGAAAATTTTATAAGACAGATTCATAAAGCGATACACATGATTGTGTTTTATGAATTAAATAATAATTATTATGCTTTGTATAGCTGTATAAATAAATTTCTTCGCAATTACTAAATAAAATTGTTCTTGAAAATACGTTCTTGCCGATATTCTTCACATTTTATAAAAATAGAAAGATATACA